CGCAGTCTACTATGAGAGTACTGATTTAAGCTTCAGAGTGACATTGCCGGGTTAATCACCCCGGGTCCTCTAGCATTGATTCCTTGCAGGTCTCTAAAGAGCTACAAAGCTCAATAATCAATCCAGCTCGCCACTGGTAAGCTCGGCACCTAATAGGCAGCTCGGCACCCTGGTCAGCTCGGCCTTCTGGTCAGCTCATCACCTAACCTGCCCAACTCGGCCCAGTCAGTTTGACACCTAACTTGCCCAACTCGGCTCAGTCAACTCGGCCTGGTCAACCTGGCATCCAAGTCCTCATCCAACAAAGTTCTCCACTTTAATCTCTGAGTCATCGACTACTTGAAAACAGACCAAATGACAAAATACTTAGCACAAAAAACTGATAGATCACCAAAAATTTATTCATCAGGCTTGGCGTTGTCCCGTTGAGGATAATCCAAAGGACAAAAGGCCGTAACAACCATTCAATGTGTGGAGCCAACAGGGATAATCCCAGCCATATGTTTTTTTTTTCTTTCTATATAGTTTTTAGTCAGTGTAACGGCATGCCAATCAGAGAGAGTTAGGATCACAAGATCTGGTCAACCTTTGGCAAGGAAGAGTTAAACGGTGGGTCCCGATGACTAGGAAGACACGTACGCCGATACCTCGTGGTCGTAGATCAAGCCCATAAATTGTACAAAGAGGAGACTGTAGAGGGCCCTCTCACATCCAAAAGCCCAAAATATTGACCCAATTGATTCCACTTACTTATTAGACCCTCGAGAAAGTGATATAAAACAAGTTGAAAAGATAAGATAGATATCTGGCTGTGTGTCACGTTTTAAAGTGGGGAAAAACGTTGCAACGTATTCTAGAGCTAACTTGCCACGTGGAAAACTCCTGGAAACAGCGAGTTTATCTAATTCAATGTTTCCATCGTTTTGACTTTCCTGCATCTGACGATGTCTGTAGGCGAAGAATCAAGTTGCGTAAACTCGTTGACTATAGGCAAACCTCTTATATCAATCAAAGCCTATTATTTTCCTTCAGTGGATACGATTGAAGAAACAAAAAGAAACGGCAAAATTTTGGATTGAAAGGAGTGTTTTAGTAATACGCAAGCTGAAGGATAGGTTTTACAAAACACGTGAAACCATAAGGTGTAGTGAACTACTAAATTACTCATGATGATTCAGTTGCAGCGGAGACTTGAATCAAATCCTGTTATAAATTTCTTTTCAATTATATATCAAAAAAAAAATCTTATTACAACGGTTGGGGGTTACCATTTTTTCGATATTTAACGCAATACACTATTAACCCTCAAGGTAGGTGAAAACAAGGGGACTCAAGTCCACATATTCACATGGATTACCCAGCGAATATACCAACGGAGCCACCACTCGAGTCTATACCCCTACTGTATGATGGAGTTAAGATATATATGGACTGAATAGAAAAAACCCCTATTTTTATATTAAGGGAATTAGACAAGATAAGGCAAAGCAAAACTAAAACCAATGGAGAAGGGTAGATCCGCTGCAACAAGAAATATCACGATCCTCTCCTTTGTTAGTCAACTACTCTGCAGCAACATTTTCCTTCCCTGGAGCCGCCTATGGCATGGCACGGCCCGCATTTCCTGGCATGTCCAAATGCGGGTCGTGTCGGGCACAGTACAATCATGCGAGCCATGCCACACTGGGGGTTTATGTTCAAGGGCCGGCATGGCATGGTATGACTATACGTGTCATGCCACCCACAGCCCACATGTCGGCACAGCCCAGCACAGCAATTGGGGTTAAGGTAGGGGATCATACCGGTCCCTAACCCCTCCCAATGGCTACTTTCATCTTTTTTTGGGTTTTTTTAAGAAAAATACCCCCTCAATAGCCATATAACAACTACTTTAAGGGGCATTTGGGTAAAGTGATAAATAATTTTATAATAACCAAAATATCCTTCTTAACAACTAAGAAAGACAAGTTTTTAAGGTATTTTAAACAATTGAATTATTTTCAATTCCTATAAATAACCCTATCCTCCACACCAATTCAGTAATTCTCTTCTCAATTCTTGTACTGTCATACTCTCTCAATCTCTCATACACCCATACTGTAGGATTGACTCCTCTTCCCAAAACCAATTCCCCAATAGTAAGTTCATTAGCATGATTTGGAAAATATTTAAAATAGAGGAGGTTGAGGAGAAAAGAAAAAGAATTGTTTGGCAAAAATGTAGGATTGACTTTCCTTCAGTAACAAGGGTGGTGGTATTGGCCACTTTACCAGACATTTGCTCTTCCACGAGAAACAAGAAAAAGACATCTACTTTAAAATAAATGAATTACAAGACAAAGATGGACATGACACTACTACACCTCATGAAGCAGATAATTAAAGTCAATGAGATGAAATAATTTTTTCAATTTTATTACAATTATTTGTTAATTTTTAAACAATGTAATTTTTTATTTTCAATTTGTAATTTTTATATTTTAAATGAAATAAAATTCTTATTTTTTTTCAATTTATTGTCATTTTTGTATTTTGGTAAGTACTTTTTTTTCATTTCTTTATTAGATTTTTTATTTTTTCCAATTTGTTTCCAAAGCAAGCAAAACCCAAAAAAAAACAATCTAGGCCCACGGGCTTGGGCCATGAGCCATACCAGGCTAACCTCCCAAATTATCCCAAGGGAGGGAGGTGACCTTTGCTGAGGTTCTTGACACTCCTCAGCTATCGCAAGACACTACCATAGGATCTTAGAGACCTTGGAGGATGTTGATAACGATGAGGGAATCTCCTTTGACAGGCATAATTTCTCCGAGCCAAATTGGGATATGCTCATCATAGAACATTTCTCACATCAACCTCACAACCACATCCCACCGTGTATTGAGAATATCTCCTATGAACAATAACAATGTAGCTGGAATATGCTGTGAGGTCGGTACGAGGTGCAAATCCAGACTACTCACGGTCAGGTATGAACTCTCCAATGCATCAGAATTCAAGACACATGGCATGAGCCGGGCCACCGGCTCGAACAGGGTTTTACAGCGGATCTGCTCCTCGCAAAACGCACCCCGTAGGGTAGGATGTGACTGAGGTCGGTGTGAAGCGCGCAAGGTGAGGAACAGATCCCAATTCACACTAACGGCCGTTGCTACTACCTTGGCCTAGGCTAGGCATCGGGGGTAGACAGTATAAATTAATAAAATAACACCTTTTAAAAAAATAGAAATTTAATTATATACATTAGGCCATCAGAACTCTAACTGCATGACACGTTACAGTGCTGAATGCATGGTTGTATGGAACATGTCACGCGGAGAGAGCCTGTGGACAGCAAAGGCTGTCGAACATGGAAAACCAGGTTTCGTCGCCAGTAGTCCCCCCACTTGATGGATGATGGTTAGGATTGGCCGCATACCTTCACATAGAAGAAAAATGACAAGCTGTTTGCAGAAGTTCTCTTATTAACCCGACTAGAGAACCCATGAATTTGGCTCCCTCTTCCTCGACTCTCAACCGTTAAGACTTCTGATCTTCTGATATAGCCTGTGTGAACTGTTCTATATTTCTGGCTTTTTGTTTGAAATTTGAATTATATACCAGATCCAAGTAAAATCCCAGTAATGTAAATAAATTCAAAAATATCATTACATAACGGTCACAGCAGATGTTATATCCTCAAAAACATGTCTACAAATGGAAAACAGCGATTTATGACTACATTCTGATACAGTTCCAACAGGCTTCAATCTCTTGCAGATTAAAAAAGCCAACCAGTCAGACGGCTAAAGGACGTGAAATTCAAAAATTGGGAAGCCAACAGATATGTAGTCCAATAGTACAGTAATGACTCCAAAGCATCTCAGCACCAAAAATTGCATCAATTTTAATAAAAGTCCGAATATTTAATAATAGTAAAGTGGTCACCAAAAGATTATCATGCAAAGCCAAATAACATCACATGCCAGGCTCTCACCATGAATGGTTCAGTCTGCAACTCTGCATAGCGTTTCTTATGTGGCTGCCAACCATTGACTGAAGCCAAGCACTGGGAGAGAATGTCAATGAACATATTCTGTGTCTCTGCATAACAGACCACTGGAAGCAGATGGGAAGATGACAATACATGTAGACAATAAATTATAACTAAAACTCTATTAAAAATCAAGTTGGATAAGAGATGCATATTCTCATAGTTTATAGGAAAAAATTGAAGAACTCAATTCATTTGTTACTAAGTACAGGGAAGATTTCATACTCATCAGAGAAGATCACAAAAGAAAAATAAAAACTCCTACCAACTTACCGCAAATACTGTAGTTTAAGTGGTAATGAAATGGCTGAAGTTCTTCGATCCATCAGGTTAGTGCTTTTGTTTATACTGAAGATATTACCACGGCCATTCACAACTGAGGGCAATGTATCGTCCTTGTAAAGATGCAACTATAGGACTTCATGAAAGGATACCAGCCCATTTAAAAGAAAAGAAAGAAAAGAAAAAACTACTATGTTAYGTGTCCAACATTCGTCCTGCAAAAACACCTCAAGGCAATTGTTCAATAGCATAGATATGGGAATGCAACAATGGACCTTTAGGAGCATCATCTTTATTTTTTTATTTCTACTTGATTTTGTTTTGTTTTGGGTAATCATGACTGAGGCTTAACTGATTTCTGTAGAATGATTAAATTCAAATTAACAACTAACGATGACCTAAGACCTACAACCATTGGATCTCCAGTATTCAAGGAGAATAAAGAATTAAGGGTGTAAAATTAACTTTGTAGAGAAGAAAGTATGCTTATTCAGCTACATTAAATACATACCCCAAAGACAAACAAATGATCTGCCTGGCAAAATGAAAAAATAAAACGCTTCTGAACCAATTCACCATTTCGGTGAGAAGACAAGCCATGATGTTACAAAGAAAATATCTCTTTAATGTATTCAAAAACAAAAAAAACAAGAAAGAAAAAAGAGCCTAGTCACAGTGGCAACAAATAGCAAGTAACAAAACATTTCCATTAACGGTCACATTCCAGACAGACAGGACAAGGCAGAAACCAACATTGGATTTCACATGCAATAAATTATTGCATCAAATTTGATGCCCTATTTATTAAAAAAATAAAATGTATGTACAAATGGCCTTATACCCCAGTTCTGTCAAACAATAATCAGGAGATTGTGCCTATAAATGTTGACCTTAGGGTTTAGCTAGCTTGTGGATCAAGAAGAAAGATCTTTACAACTAAAATTTACCAACGTGTTACAAGAGGAGCACATCCAAAGACAATTTTTGCTCCAAAATGTACCTCCACAAATCCTCAGATCCATAACCTACTTATCCATGCAATCAGCCTTGTCTAATTCGGTTTTACTTTTATAGCTTAACTTCTATAAATGAACAAAATATACAGAGAGAGCAATCTTAAACCATCATGTTTAATTCAGAAAGGTCATCCATTGGAATTTCAAGGCCCATACAGTCATGGTCTTGCAATCCATCATCATCAATGTTTAACCATGAACTAAGATCTTGGCCTTGCCCGTCAAGATCATCTGGAACACCTAGTACATCCATTCCAGGTAGTTGCAGGCTGGATAAATCAATAGCCTCAGTGTCATTCAACATATCCAAACTCAATACATCTTTCCCATTCATATTACCATCATTAGCCACCTTACGTGACTTTGGGACCGGAGGCGGCATTGCTTTTACAGAAGCAGATAATTGGGTTGTCTTCTGCTTAGGCTTTGTTTTAGACTTCCTTTCACCCTTGACATTGCCTAAAGCTGGCCGACCAATTTTAGGAGTGCAATTTCTTGAAAGCACCTCTCTTTTATGCCCTTTTCCCTCTCGATCTCTTTCACTCCTCTTTCCTTTTGTACCACTTAAAAGAGAACCCCCAAATCCTGAAATGTTTCTCAGAGAAGTACCAATTGTCCCACCAACAACATCATCAAGCAACAACTCCTTTTTCTTCGCTCTATTTGACCAATTACCCTCCTTACCAGTAGTTGGCTCAGATAAGTGATTTACTAGATGGAAGGCATTAGAAGAATGCTTCTCAGGCATATCTATGTTCTGCCCCGACCGTGAAATCACAGGAGCAGTTTGATGTGAGTTCATGGAAGCTGCAAGAGAGACAAAATCACAATTTTATCCACTCAACCACCAAAAGAAAAAGAAGCATGATGCCAAAGACAACCAAGTAAATTGATACAACTAAACCGTAAAAAAAAAATCAATCACTTGCATCAGAAGAAGATGCAAATTATATTTATATATATACGTATGTACTTATGTACGTATGTATGTATGTATGTATGTATGTATATATATCAGTATGCAAATGCGACGTGATTTCCCCAAAGGACAATAGGGTAAGTACCTGAAACCCTAGCATCCAACGAACGGGTAGAAATGTCAGTACTAGCAGATTCCCCTTCAGTTATGGTTGTATCTAAACACTCTGATTCATTATGGCAGGAAGAAACAGAAAGAAACAAATCCCTGAATAATGGCCCATTAAAGCAGCTCTCGCCTGTATCTTCAAACTTATGACACCGTTCTAGTGTTCGTCTCACAAAAGCTAAAGTGGCACGCTTGGCCCATTTGCTGTTTGCACTCTTTCCACTAGAGATATTAGGAGCACAATATGTCTGTAAAACATACAATATATGAGATCTACCCTATGATGTAAAAATAGAAGAATCACCAAAACGGCAAATCCCAGCAGCACCTTCATGGTGTAGATTTAGGTATACAAACTAGCATATGCACTGTAGTATTTAATAATTAATAGTGATAGTAAAACGATGCCTTCAATACTAGTTTTAAAGATAGACAAATATTTACTAGAACAGACACCAATAATTTAAATTGATGGTAAGCATGCTTTGTCTAATATCTTGTAGCACAAACCATTCCGTTTGCATTAAGATGAAAATTTAGTCTTATAGGATACAAAAGTTTCGAACTGCACGGGTAAGATGGGCTCATACAAGGTGGGGAGGAGCTCTTCTCAATTTAACATAGTAAAGATAAAAAAAAGTCAGAAATTAGACAATCAACACTTACCATATAATTTTCATAAGCGATTTCAACAAGTTTGTTGACGGCATTTAATTCAATTTCCCTGCAAAACATTGCAACTTTGCATTAAAAATCATAGACAGTAAAGGGGATGACAAGAACAAGACATGGAACCATTTCTATAATAGTGAAATATTAAGAAAGGAAAATAAAGAAAAGGAAAAATCTATGCTGCTGGAAAGACATGATACTGGAAGGGCTTTGACCAATCAACCGCCCTCCCCTCCAGGTGAATTTGATAATTGATAAATAACCATCTGAATGATTACCATTTTTATGGTACCTGTTGATTGTTTACAGATTTTTCCAGTATCATGTCTTTCCGGTATCATAGTTGAACCCTAAAGAATAAGGAGCAGATTCCAGATATGAATAAAGGAGACTTGAAATAATCTCTTTTGGCCTGGATATATACATAATTGCATTTAATTGCTAACTCAAAACATGAATTACATTAAACCAAATTACAAGAAAACAGGTACTATGTATCCCCTCTAAAATCTATTACAAGACCAATCAAATGACTTCAGAGGATATTAAATTATTAACCACCAAATTGGCATTGCCATGCTTAATAATAAATTCATTACCTTTGTTGAGATTCCCTTGCCTCTGTAACAGACTTCTCCAGGTTACATAATAATCTCCTTTTCTTAAGAACCTATCAGCAAAAGACCTAACTATGAGATGGATGTAATCAAGAGTAGTGTATACTTCTATTTAAGACAAATTTCTTATTAGGTGTCATATTAAAAGAGGGCGGTCATATTTCTTGCTACTACCCTAGAATTACAAGAGCATGAACATTTATCACCTCATCCATGATTGACACAGAGGGAGGAACAAAATCAGAGATAGATAGACAAAAACTGACAAAATAGTCTATTTATATACCCACAATCCATATACACATGCATATATAGCATATGATTATATGAAGGCATAGTTTCATAACACATGCACACATAGAGCCAGGTATAACACAGAGAAATTTCAGATACTAAATCAACAGAGGAAAGCATCAAAGGAATATCATAACCGTGGTTTTTCTGACAGGACAAATTCTTTCACACTGCAACAATTTGGAACAAGAATTAAAAGAATTACCAAAAACCCATCCATTAATGCATGGGTTCCAATACAACTCATTGCAATTATGTGCCACTAACGAGCTATGGGTGTTAATTGAATTAGGTGAATGTTTGATAATTTACTGAAATAGTATCTCTAAGTGGAAAAAAATTAAAATATAAAATAGGCCATTCAGCAGTTCAGAAAGTCAAGCGTACTTAATAACTGAATGATGAAATACAGGCATTTGGATGATTATTTTATCCCTAGATATTTTTATCATATACCAATAATGCCCCTGAATTTAAGCCATTTTTGAGTTTGGAATCTTTTTGGCATTCCATTTTCAGCACCTACTTCAGYAGCTATCAAATAAACTACTTGGAGTTGGTGCACAAATCCTTTTCCACCAATATGCTCTATCAAGCATCAAGAGCCATGTTTTCTGTTAARGTTTTTAAATCATTTTTTACCATTTCATCTTTATTTTGGTTTCCCCTGAATACTCTCCTTGTTGATGCAGTTACTCATAATCTATGARCATGAACAAACCATCTCAGTCAACCTTGTCTTGCCACTAATTGGAGCTATTCCTAAGTCCTTTCCATTGCACTCATTTCTGATTTAGTTATCAAATGGCCCCAAAGATATATGAATGAGTTGTGAAAGTCAGAGACACATTTGATCATCAGAGTAAATTCCTAATAAATGGAACTTCTAGAAACTTCTTGGTTGAATATAATCATAGTTGTCATTACTGCTCATGAACAATAAAAAAAAATTACCTGTTCTTGAAGCTTCTCCCTGAGACCGCTAATTTCTTCATTGATCTCTTCATCTTCACTCTGTTCTAAGTCAGGCTGAAAGAATAGGCATGTCTATTAGGCATCGGTAAGAAGTATAAATCCAAAGCAAAAGGTATGGCAGATTCCTTGGCAAGAAAAGAGGTGAATTGAACACAAATGTAGATTGAACAGTGCTAAGCCAATTCCACTTTGTACATAAGCATTTTTACCATAAAAATTAAAATTCTTTGTAGGTTAACAATAAGAAAAAAAGAGCATAAACATTTGAAAGTGGCACACAAGTACAAGAATATATTAAAGCATAATACCAAGATAGAAAGTGGCACATGAAACAAAACATTTGAAGTGAAGCAGCTCTAGTTAAGAGATGAATGTTGAATAACAAACATTTTGATTAGCAGGTTGTGAAGTTGAAGCTGTTGACTAACTTGTATTGTTGCTGTGAAGGGATACTTCAGTCCATTAGTTCACTTATTTTTTATACCTTTTTTATGTTGCCGTAGTTACTCATTATACCTTTCAGTTCATCATAACTCTCAGGTTAACAATAAAAAAAGAGTATAAACACAAAGTACAAGAATATATTAAAGCATAATACCAAGAAAGAAAGTGGCACATGAAACAAAACATTTGAAGTGAAGCAGCTCTAATTAAGACATGAATGTTGAAGACTACAAACATTTTGTTTAGCAGGCTGTGAAGTTGAAGCTGTTGACTAAATTGTATTGTTGCTATGAAGGGATACTTCAGTCCATTAGTTCACTTATTTTTTATACCTTTTTTATGTTTCTGTAGTTACTCGTTATACCTTTCAGTCCATTATAACTCTCTCTTCATGCTTTTACACTTGATTATTCAAGGAAAAAATACAGCAATTTTTATTGTTTTCTGGTTATTTCAAGACAAGTGAAGCAAACTATAGGGAGTACATGCACATAACCAACCTAAAACTAATCCTCTGCATGTAACATGAAAAAGTTACTACTATACAATGAAATAATACTTGGGAAAACAGCACACCAACTACTGCAAACTTTTTTTAGAATTAAACATACCAGTGCTTCTGGAAGAATTCCAATACTCTGGAGCTCTAGGAGAATTCTTTCATCGATGGACAACTGATCATATTGAGACTCAGTGCAAGCCATAGTAGCAATCACTGATTGGTCTGGATGAAATCCATTTAAGGAATACACAAAGTTCGAGTTCATCCCAGTATTTGCATCTGCCACTACACCATCATTTTCCAACTCATCATGTTCAATCTCATCAAGGACTCTCCAGGAGGATGTTGTCCTATAAGCATTTGAAGCAGTTTGTCCAACTGTCAGAAAACTCTCAAGTGTGAGGTGATTCAAACTATTGGACTTCAACCCCGAAGTTGGCAACTCAAAACCAGTTCCACATATATCAAACTTTACGTCTTCATCACATTCAGGAAAAAATTCATTATTGTCTTCCTCTGGAATTAGAGCCGCAATAAGTCTTTGGGCTAATGGCACTGTATTATGAACCCTTATTCCTGGTACCAAATGCTCGTCAAAAAATTCAGCATCCTTTCCTTTACTAGCAATCTCCAAATTTCTATTAGAATCAACCAACCCATTTCTGATGGGAACAGTACTACAATCATCTCTTCCACTAGCGCCTACCATTGGTAACAGTGAATTAGAACCAACATTTCCCTGAGAAAAAGAAGTAAACAGAACAAAATGAAAGTGGCATCACATGATAGAAATGATCCATGAAAAATGACTCTCAAACTAAGTAGTTGAAACTGTAAAAGCCTTCCCTCCTTTTGTTATGAGTTTCATTACATCCAATAACAGAAAAGAGAACATCATAACACTCACTAGTTCTTGTTCAATAAGTGGCATCTTTTTTATCTAGATCAGAAATATATTGAGAAATCATCAAGATGAGAAGAAATAGATATGCTTGTATACTAGGCACCTAATATACCTGTAGAAAATATTGGAATAAATATAATAATTAACTAAAAAGTATATGTCTATGAAGATTTGTGACACAAGTGGTCATCCAATGGCATTGCATACATAGAAGTCATAATAATATACTCGTACCTTAAGGTTAGTGGTACTGCAGCATTTAACGTCAATATTCTCCAATGGTTCATCTACAAGGCAAATCTGCAATACCAATTTCAGTACAGATGGAGAGATTAGTTGATAAAACAAATCTTTTGAATAAGAATAAATAAGTCACTTACAAAAATAAGAAAGAAAAGACAATACCTGTTGCTTTAAATAGGCTATATCTTCATCTGAAATAAAACCAAAGACTTGCTCCATTTGCATCCAAAATGAGTTGGAGCAAGCATGAGCTACAACAATAGCCACAAAAATTAGTCAACTGAAGTTAATTTTTGAGAAGCAAATGGATACCGTGCATAGTGAGAGACTGAGTTATACTGGGAGTTATAGCAGCATTTGCAGCAGCCAAGAGCTCTTTATGGCCATCACCTGGTTCTATGAAAAAAMAAATGAAATAGTAAAAGTTAAACAATGAAATTAACAGATAAGCACAGTGTTTTGCAAATTTTGAATTGCATGGAGACCAAATACCAAGAATATCTGCTATTCCACTATTCATTGCATGTTTGGGACGTGTATAAGCCTTGTAATTAGACGGCTTCCTAGTTGCTGGACGACCTGCTTTACTGAGTCAAAGAATTTAATCCAGTAAGAGGTTTAACCAAGAAAATTTAAAGGGTTAACCAAGAAATAAAATGTAGATGCATTGGAGAATATAAGTTAAGATAAATTTATCACCTTTCACCCTTATCAAGACCAAGTCTTGCGCTTCTGAGCTGTTTTGCTGTAGCCACATTGTTGAGCTTATCCATAGTTGTTGGCATCCCAGACCTTGTGGAAGTGAAACCACGTCCAGACCTTCCCAATCTCCGAACACCATCTCCAAGATCTTCATCAGCAGATATCTTGTTCTTTCTTGATGAAAATACTAGACTGGCAACCCTTTGAATGCTCTGTCCAACTTTCTCATTCATATTACAAGACTTCTTGCATTTGTCTTTGGACTTAATTTCAGCAGCTCCTGACTCCTCAATTTCTGGCAATGCAACTGAAGACAAATGTTCACCTTTTAATTTAACCTGTTGATGAGCCTTACTAGACAAGCACCTTGGGACTCCAAACCCATTTTCAGTACCAGCAACATGAGATACTATATCAGAAGCCAGGTTGTCATCCTGGCTTGACATGGGATGAACAAAATTTGTTCTTCTTGCCATACGTGATATCTTTTGGGGTCTTTGCCCAGCCCACTGTGTCACAGGTGGTGATGAAGATGGTGTTGGTGGTGTATGTTTGCGACTGTTACTCCCAGCAACATCCTGGACCTTGTTCATGCATTGGGAAAGTTGATAATCATCAGAAGATCCTACCTTGTGGGCACTTGGAGATGACTTGGGTATTGTGCTTGAACTAAATCTTTGTGCCCGAGCAGATGTATTTACTTTTATGGTTGAGGTAGGACTCACTGAACAAATAGTATCTTCACGGCTGATTGGCCTGAAAATGTTTTGTATGAAGTAGAAGAATTTAAGCAGTAAATAATTGGATTGTGAAAGAATGAGAAAACAGGGGGTTTCATTAAGGAAAAAGAAACACCCAAACAGGGAACAAAGTTTCACAGAAGTAAACTGTTCTGCAATTAAATGAAAAAGAAGAGAACCTTACAGAATATGAGATCCATAGAAATAAAACCTTGCAAATGCAAGACAAAAAGGTTGGGTTGGGAGGGGAGAAACTAAGAAAAAAAAAGAAAGAATAATCCTATTACGGATATTTTACATACCTGTTAACAGCCTTAAGATTGACACGTTCCTTATCTGAACCAACTGGACGATCTCTTCTGTCATTAACAGCAGAGCCATTGTCTTGGTCAATCCTAGGGGTGGAAGAGCGCATTCCAAGGCCATTTTGTTGAGAAGACATATCAAATTTTCCAATTCCACCAGCGCTTGGTCTGTATTTAAGATACTCAAATAAATACAACATAAGAAACCCAATAACAAGGGGAGGGATCACTCTGAAGAAAAATAATTTGGATACATGGTGAAACATACAGGAAATGGGATATGTGAATCAGATAATAAAGACCTAATTATTCATACAAAGATCCATGTAGTAATAACCACAGGGAATAATATACAAGAAAGGAATAAAAACTTTTCTAGAACAAATTAAGAACTCAACAGCAAGGTTCAAAGTATCGATACAATATGCCCCATATCGGGCGTATTGTATTGTATCAGCAAGGTTCTGATACAGCTATTTAAAGGTGATTTCAGGAACCTATTTGTTTCATTAATTAAATAATATAAAAACATTTATAAAATGAAATTTTGGAAAAAAAACAAAAAAAATTAAAAAGCACATTGTATAAAGCACCGATACACCTCTGCCAATACACAATGGTGTATCTACTTTGAATCATGCTCAACAGTCATAATATATATATATATATGGTGCATGGTAAGATGCATTTTGAGGAGCCATTGCTTGGTGCAATGGTAAAATCCCAGACTGACAAGCATGAGAACATGGTTGGAGTCTGAGCAGACACTTAATGCAAAAAATACCAAAGATCTGTATCCAGCCTACCCCTCCTGACCCCAGATAGATAGCCAGGTCCATCATTGGGTAATGGTCTATTTGGATGATAGGTAAAACATAATGAGAAATAAGCTTAAGCACAAGAAAATAACAACAATAAACTGAATAGCAGAGAAAGCATCTATTAAGTGTTCCAGWGTAAGAATTTGTTTCAGACTTCCTAAAATCTTCAAAAAGCATTTTTTTAGAAAACTTAGAAGATTAGAACTTTCCATCGTAACAACTAAAACTGAAAAGGTTTTATCATCCCGACTGCTTCATATAAATATTTATACAGTTTATTTATGGTGAAATACAAAGAAACATCCCGACTGCTTCATATAAATATTTATACAGTTTATTTATGGTGAAATACAAAGAAACATTATTAAAGGAAAAAGAAACCATAGAAGCTCAGTTCCATGTTTCTAGTTGTTTATCCCAAAAAATAATGATAAAAGTGCATATATTGTCCTAAAAAATAATAGCCTCCAAGTGATTCTTTGTGGATGAAAGTTCCATTCACATTAAATAAAAATGAAGGGAATATAAAATGGTTGGTTGCTGATTAAAAAAAATGAAGGTAATATTCAACCATCAAGCAATAACCATAATAAATAGGATATGAAAAAATCATAGGTCCTGCCACATATGACCCAAAATAGGACTCATATATAACCTCAACTCAACAAGCCTCAACCCCTCTAATATGGGGTCAACTAGAACAAAATGTCCAATACAGACTAGTAGAAAGAAATGGTATTTTTTTGTGAAGGAACAGAAGTTTAGTGACCCTACAACAGGTTCAGACTTTTTATCTGAAAAACTCTTCAACTAGACCTTGACTTGAAAATTCAGATCAGTTATTCAATTATTAAATGCAAATGCACGAGTTGTGCTGTAAGAAGTTACACCTGATCAACCTTGTTCGGGCATCTGTGACATGCCTTTGCTGCATACCACATTTAGATTCCCGATCACCATCAAGAGGTCTTGTCAACATTGTGCTAGCACAAACATCTGACTTTATCCCAGACCGCTTCTTCCTCATTTTTGGCTTTTCCCAACCATCCACACCAATGGCTAAAGCCTGACCCTTTTCTTCAGATGGAACTGCACTACAATTTGCAGCTCTGAACATTTCTCTATCCCTATCCATTGCCCCAGATGGCACTCCAAGAGTATTAGCCTGTAAATCCATCTAATGGGTCAAAATCATAGTCCTAAATGAATAAATTAAAAGCATGTTAATAGTTTAGTTAAATGACAGAAAGATAGCAAAACAATTCATATTTACCAGAAACAGAGACATGAAACAAATAAAATAAGCAAATTTATAACCATGGCATAAACAAGAAATATGGGAAGGGCTCCCAGATAGAGACATAAGGAGTTGAGACTTGTAAATCAACAAGCTAAGAATATGCATGGTAATATCTGCAGTTGTATGAAATATTAAATTGAGAACAGAAGGTATCAATAATTTTCATAACATAGTTGTCAAAGTGTCACCTAGGCTAGAAATACCAGAAGACAGGCATGTTCTTGTAATGTTATTACTGTGCCAATATATTATTACTATTGGTGCTAATACGCCATATTATATATTATATGTATCACCTGTGCTTTGACTAAGGATTTTACAATTAAAACACAAATTATAATGGGTGTTAGGATGATAAAATTAAAGAAAGAATTCATCATAAAAAAAATTAAAGAAAGAAGAATAAAGAATGTTCTCCTTTTTTCTACAGTCGCTTTCTCATACATTAAATAAAAAAGGGGCTCTGCCCCTTGTTCTCATCGTGTTATAATGTTGTGTTTGTAGTATCAAAATTAATCGAATTAAAATGCTATTGTCTTTTAAAATCGATGATACGCTACATTTTAAGGAGAAAATTAATGTTTTAGACTGGGGAACTAACCTAAAATTTTGTTTTTATTCTTTGTAAAATTCTCTCACCTAGGCAAGTAGATACCTTACTTTCGCCTAGAATCACCTGGACATCTTAACGACTATAGTTCATAACATGCAGAAACATAAACACAAAGGTAACTGAAAACAGGAAGTGTGAGGAGAGGCACCAAACTTTTTTTTTATCAATAGAGAGGCACCAAACTTCTAGATTCACGAGGCATAAACTTTCAGTGTTTATTATAATAAAAGTTAAATTCTGTTATGGATGCATTCGTAGGAAGGAGATACCGCCGCCGCCGGCAGCAGCAGTGAGGAGGGCCCACGCAGCAACTTATCTTGCCACATCAGCTTATCCTGCCAGCTCTCCATTAGCTTACTTTATCCAGTTCTGTTCTTACTTATCTATTAGAGATAGGAGTTAAGTTCTGTTCTTAGGAGTCTGTTTACCTATTAGAAGTAGGAGTTTGATTTAAAGTTGGATTGTCCTAGCTTAGCCGAATGAAATAAGGAGTCACCTCTTGTAATCTCCTATTTAAG